GGAGTGTGCTTGCGTGCGAGGTCGGGACGAGTCCAAAGCTGGTCTATGACGTGATGCTATGCACAAAATTCCTTCTGAGAATGCGCGGAGAGAACAGAGAGTGTGCTGGGTGGTTGCTGAAGTGGTCGTGGTTGTCGTGTGGCTGCGGAGAACAGCTCGGGAGTCCAAGATCTTCTCCGGTTAGCGCTTCTGACCAAACACGCACCTTCTCAAGTTTTCGTGCTCCTCGCCATCCTCACCAGCTGCTTGCAATTGACACGTCATGGCTCCGTGAAGACGACAGCACCTGCATCTTCTCATGCCCCGCTTTCGCGTTCCCAATGCTAGCCTCATCGCCAGCGCCGACTTTCCCATCCTGCCGTTCCTCGCTCCGAGAGTCTTCGCCCAGTCATCGACGACAAAAGCACACAGCCAACAGCATGCAAGGCCTAGCACAACACGGGACAAAGAGAAGGATAGGTCAAAGAGCTTAGAGGAACATAACAGGGTGGAAGATCAGGACTTAATCTCGAGCCCCCGACAGACAACTATACCAACATGTCGCAAGCGACCGACACAAGACGCTCCTGCTGCGGGGCTCCTACGGACGTCTGGCCGCTGGAACAAAAGAACTGACGGCCCTGTTTCAGTCAATCGCCTCTATGCGGATATATCGACATTCACTCGCCAGTATGCCCGCTCATACGCAACGACCACATCCAGCAATAAAGGCGTAGTGGATGAGAAGACGCTCTCGCGACCTCGAGCTCGTCGGGCACAGTCTAATCGTACACGTGCTCCCTCGTCCTCCGTTCAACGCACACCTCTGCGAGCCGAGAGACATTCGAAACAACTCGCCTTGGAACGTGCGCGACTCGACAACTACGTCTCTAGACTACCTGCCTCCTTTTCACCTGCAAGGCGCGACCAAGATGGCCGATACAGGTCCCTTCGACGACGCGTGGCAAACCTCGTCAGCTGGAACCAGACGCATCTTGATCTGACTGACACTTCTGCAAAAGAGAATGGGCTTCAATACGCGTTTGCGGCACTGGATCGCCCCGTCTACGCATCTTTGCGGAGAAACACACGTAGCGTCGTTATAGAACACGACCCACGATGTGCGCGATTGAGTTGGACGCTCTTTGCGGGAGACGCCGAATCAAGTCCGCGCGAAGTATCGGACAGGTGGAAGGCTCTCGACATCTCGACGCGGAAAGCCTACGCTCATAAGTTGCTCATTTATCTCCTCGATCGTAAGCCTGGCCGCGCTTTATACTTCATACAAGCTCTGGTTAACGATACACGTACATGGAGCCGGAAGCGAGAAGCTATTGCCGACGCTCTCAGTCATCTTTCAAAACTTCATCGACACCGATTGTATCAGGATCAGAGTTGGGGTACTGACCTAGAAGCACGCAAGCGCGAATTCGTCCCGGCGTTCTTGCACGTCTTAGTCAAGACGTTATCTAGCAAGCCCGATTTCTGCTCTCAAGACTTACTGTACAATCTTGTCGAGCTGGCCAAGATAGAGGATCTGAAGAAAGTGTTCGATTGCCTCGTGGAACACAAGGTACGCGTTGACTACGATACAGTGCTGCACTATGCCACTGCATTTGGGCAGGCTGGTGAAGTGCAGTATGCGTTGAAATGCCTCGAGGCATTGAAAAGCCGACATTCAGCGAAGTCGTGGGAGTCTGTTGTGGCGCGTCAAAGACTTCGCTGGGTGTGCGCTGTCATACTGCGAAGGAGCATGGCTGCAACCAAAGACTTTCACCACACTCCATATATCGTCGCTGCCTTTGTAAACATGGGTATCCAGATGGACTTACTTCTTTACAATGTCGTCATACACAACGCAATGGAAGCTGGAGATCATGCCACGGCTTTCAAGGTGTACAACACCTTCGAAAATAATGACCTACAGCCAGACAAATACACATTCGGGATAATGCTCCATGGATGTACCATGCAAAATGATCCAGCCTTTTTCCAAAGATTTGCACAGTATTGCGAAGAGGTAGCACAAGATATCCAGGACCCTTGGCTAGCAACGGAGTGTCTCTACTATCAGTATGTACGCTACAGAGTTGATGGAAACGTCGAACAGACCTCGGCCATGCTATGGCACTCTTATTCCAGACTTTTCACGACAGCGCCTCTGCAGCCATTCGTTGGCTACGGAACCGCAAGCCTAGGGAACGCCGTAATGTCACAAGATTCATCTACGCCAGAGTCTGTGCGCATTTCTCCTTCACATGTAACGCTATACATCATGCTGCAGACAGAGATTCAATCAGCCTTGGCAGTTAGCAACATGCGAGTCTATAACTTGTACCTCAAATTCAAGTCGGTCGTGCAAGAGGGGGGTCATCCGGCGTTCAATGAGATGGCTCGGCAGCCGCAAATCTGGAACGCCTTCCTCTACGCCTTTTGTCAAAAACAGCAATTCGCAAACGCATCTCAGCTCATTCAAGACATGACGAATGGCCCAGCAAAGCCCAATGTCTACAGCTGGAACATCTTTATGCAGGCTTTCTTCAAGACAGGCCAGATACAAGCGGCAGAACGAATTTTCGAGATCATGCGCGACAGGGGCACTGATCCTGCAAAGTACACCTGGGGAGTCATGATGCGAGGATACGCAAATGCTCAACTTGTCGACCAAATCGAGGATATCCTACCACATCTTGACGCCGAGGACGAGTCGGACCCTGATTTGCTGCGATTCCTGGCGAAAGTAGTCGATCGGAGAAAGCTGATGACTATATTGGAGAAAAGCAGGCTGCAGAAAGAGGCGATTGCGCTAGAGAGAGCGGAGCAAGAAGCTGAAGCAGAGCGATACTGGTGGCAGCGGGCGCTCGAAGCTGTCGAAGTAGCACCAACAAACGATGTTACTTCGGTCCAATCCGATACGACTGGCTCTCCAGTTGAACCTTCAACTTCTCCAACCGAAGAGCGTTCTGGCGCGACTGGCTTTTCTGTTGTTGGAACCACCGTCTCTCCGACCAAAGAACAATTGGACTTACATCAAGACCGAGCCAGCGATCTCGAGACTGTAACGGAGCCTCCTCGGGTGCCTCATAGCCAGCCAAAAGCACCGCGCGCCAACGTACAAGACCCTGAAGTCCAATACAGGAAGCTCCAAGAACGGTTGGGTCTTGTCCAGCCTGCCCCTCCCATGGTTGATGATGTCGCGCTCAAGCCGACCAAGACCTCCCAAGCGGCGCCAGTCTTCAAGAGTATGATAGACTTGGACAAGTCTAAACCCAGGGTTACAGAGCCTGGTAAAGCTGCTAGCATGCGGAAGAGGGCTAGATTCAATCTCGCCAAACCCAAAGGTAGAGGTGATTTGAGATAATGCGGCTTTGGAAAGGCTGTGTTTGTAGTTCCAATTAAATGTATGTAATCTGCAAGCCTACCGACGGAGTTATCCATGATGAACTACACCTGCTTGCTATCTACGCACACGTGTTCACGCTCATGTCTACAATACACTGCAGATGTGATTACTCATACAGCACACAGTATGTAGACCTCGCCGTCCTTCTACTATTATTACACACGCCAAGCAGACTGGCCTTCTTTTTTCCCTCATAATTGTGACGCGCAACCAGTCAGAAGTCCGGAACAGGACGGGTAGCTCATGTTTCTAGTCAACCCGCTGTTGAACCAAACTCCACCATCGAACCCCGCAATGACACCAGAGAACATGCGTACTCTGATCAACAGCCCGGGGACGCCGAGGGATATTCTCATTCTCTGAAAGCAGAAGGATTAACTCCTCACCCGGATGGAAATATCTTGGAAAAGAATGAGGCAACCGTGACGACCCATGTTTTTACTACCTACAAAGGCCGCATCACACAAACATCTCAATTGACAAACTGTTTGGTACGGTTCGGCAGGATGTTGACCGCGGGGTCGGGGCAAGATCTACGTTGCATGTACAGCCTCGCAAGCAAGCATGCAGCATGCATGCTACGTTACGTAGCTACTGCTGACTACTGTGTACTAGCGGACGCGTTGGGAGCGAACCGGAGTCTCTCAACATTACTGCCGGCCGCTGCCAGCTAGTGGCCTAGGTCTAGATCAAAACAGACCTGCTGTCGGGCCGCGTACACCCCAAGCACACGAGTGGCTGGGCGAGGACAGATAACCGCATTCTTTGTTGTGCAGTGCAGGAGGGTCAGATCGAGTACGATATATAAGCGAAGAAGCGATTTGGGAATATCCAGAATCGATGAACATGATGGATATAATATTCCCCATCGGGTAGTGTTGGTTGAAACACGGAGAAGTGAGCAAAAGACTTGTGTAAAGTTTGTTATCAATCTATTTTCCTCTCTGCCTATGTAGATAGAGACCTTCAACGTCATCTGTGGGCCCGAACATGTAAAAGAAAAAGAGTTTGCCCAAGTAATTGGCGTACGTGTTAAATGGTAAAAAAGATGGTGATGGAGAAAAGGCGTTGGCTAATTACAAGAGTACTATATTGGTCGCGTGAGAAAGCGTCAATCCTCGAGATTCCAGCATCAATGTGATAGAGAAAGGTGACAAGACAAGGAAAAAAGCTGCCAGCATGCATCATCCCACACAGATCCAAGAGAATCAAAAAGGTCCCACCTCTTGAATCCTTGCCGACAAATCGACGTGTAGTGAGATATGCATGCTGCGCTGGTCCAGACTCAAAACGCTCGTGCTTTTGTTTGTTGTGCCCATCGCAAAATGTCTCAGCAGTGTAAGCTTCCGCATCTTCCGAAGAAGACTCTCCGTTGTGTGGAGTGGGGCATGCGGAAGGGTTTTCCGGCATCCATGCGGGCGAACTTGCATGTGCATGCAACAACAGTACAACTAACAAACGCGAAGATCGATACGATGCAAAATAAATTGATGGCCACCCGATGAACGCCTCCGTTTGGATATATGTCGAGTGAGAGCTAAAGGAAATGGGTAAAGATAGAGTCGCAATATACAGGTAGCGATGGATGTAAAAATACGATGACAACAAGTGCGTGCGACTAGAAGTTTTGCGCAATTCCAGAGTTGCCTTGTTGGGGGAAGACACTGGGGTTCTCGATCCTCGTGTTCCGTCGTGCTGATACGTCTCTTATGATGGGCTGTTGTTGGGCAGCGTATGGATCGTTGGCAGCATATGGCCCGTTCTGGTAGTAGTCTTGGTTGTTGTAGTACTCCTGTGGGTGACCATTGGCCATGCCAGGGTAGTCGCCAGAGTTGTCGGAGTGGTTGGCTGCCGAGTATGACGACGAAGCGTTGGAAGGCCCGCGGTGCACACCGGCCTGGTTGTTGGCAGAGTTGGCAGCGGCAGCACCGTTGACGACACCGAGGGCGCCGATACCGTCCGAGTCCATGGTCTGGCGACGGCCGTCTACAAGCGGGTCGTTGGAGTGAGCGTCAGAGTAGGCACCGTGTGTGGGAGAGTGGGGGCTAGTGTATCCGCCGGGGTTGCTGTTGCTGTCCGAGTAGGTCATGCCAGAGGTGAGGGTGGTGGACATCTTGCGGTTGGAGCTGGTGGTGGTATTGCCCCAGCCTCGGTAACCGCTGTCGTCTTCGGCCATGGCCAATCCACCAACCGCAGGAAGGGTAGGGTCGTGGTTAGGGTTGAAGCCATACTCCTCGACTTCTTTCCTGCGTTCGTCCTCCGCGCTCTGGCGCTGCTTGCGTTTGCGCCAGAAGAAGATGCCGGCTAGGACTAGCAGAGCAACGACAACAACGGGAATGACGACAGCAATGGCAGTCTTACCACCAGTGCTGAGACCGCCATCGTTCTCCTTTTGTGCATTCTGCAATTGGGTGGAGTCGGTGTTGGAAGGGTCAGCGGCACCTGTTCCGGAGGGGGACGCGCTGTTGGTTGGTGCTGCAGTGGGAGAATCTGGAGTAAAAGTGCGAATAACGGTGACCACTGACGGTGTCTCTCCAGCACCCGTGGGGGTCACGGTGGAGACGATGACTTGGGTCGAGGGTTCAGCCGACGGGGCAGTGAAGACGCTCGTGTCGACGAAGCTTGGTGCGGCGCTGGTCGTGGCAGCAGGAGGAGGAGCCTGAGTGGATGATTGCGCTGGCGGTGGTGCGCTCGACTGGGCTGGGGGAGGAGCTGCCGATGTTGATGGTGCTGGAGCCGCTGATGAAGCCGGCGGCGGTGCCTGGCTCGACTGGGCGGGCGGGTCACTGGTTGGGGCGGCGCTGGATGCGGGAGGAGCGCTCGAGGCGGGTGGAGGAGGCTCTGAGGAGGGCGCGGCCGCTGAAGGCGTGTTAGAAGCCGGCGCAGGACTTGAAGGAGAGTCTGCAGGCGGGCTGGACGAGGCGGCGGGAGCAGAAGGCTCCGTAGGCGCAGGCGCTGCGGACGGTGTTACAGACGGCGAAGGAAGATCTGACGAGGGCGGATCTGAGGATGGGGCAGAGGCAGGAGGAGCAGACGCAGACGTAGCAGCGGGCGCGGACGAGGCAGCGGGTGCAGAGGAGGGAGAAAGAATGGAAGTAGACAACGTACTCTCGGTCACATTGCTGGACATGATGGCGACAATGGCAGCCAGCAGCTGACGGGCCTGGCAAGGAGCGACTGAGGCGACGACGACGGCGACGCGAAGACGGATAAGAGGTGCCGCGCGAGGGAGGTCGGACAGTCAGCAAGGGGAGAGGTTCGCTGGAGATGAGGAAGTTAGAGTTCCGTGGTACCGCTGGCGGGCTGTAGCAGGCGCGGCGATCTCGTGTCTCCGCCGTGGGTCCGCAGTGATGATGATGTATCGACGGAGGCTCTTGGGTTGCCAATCGACGGCGGGCGAGGTTGTGCACGAAGGTTAGTGGACCTGCACGGCAGCGGACAGGCGACCCCAGCCAGCACCTGTTGATAGAGCTGCCGAACCGAAAGCGCCCAACAACCACAAGCGCGCTGCTTTGCTGCTTTACCCTGCCGCCCGTGCCAATTGGGGGGGATTCGCCGTCTGGCGTCTGATTGCGATCGGCCGCTGGCTCTTGTGAAACAATACCGTCGCAGCTCGCACGCAGCGACAGACGCGACGGGCCTGGCAGCTTTTCACCACGCCCACGCCAAGGCCTGATGCCGCTCCTGGTGTTGCATCCAGCAGCGACTGGCTTGGAGCTTCGCACGGAAAAGCGGGTGTCTAATGCAGCTTCTAATGCACCCTCGCTGACTAGCCGCGCTCCCAAAGGGGGAGCTCATAACTGCTGAGCCGGCTAGCGACGAAAGCGGCATGGGCGTGGCTGTGTGCGTCTGGAGTCTGAAATGCGAAATCTGGCACAGCGGCCCCTTGAGATCGCTTGCTCCCTTTGTGTTGCATGCAAAACACCGAATTGCCTGCGTTGCACAGCGCCGCGATAATGCGCCTTTCCTCGCTGCCTTGGCCGTGGCATGCCGTCATCCGTGAGGCCCTGGGCTGAAATTTCTCCACCACCCCAGTCGCAATAACATCATCCGCTCGTGTTCTGAGCGAGCTTCCTGTTCTTCGCAGCCCGTGCGCCCGTCATTGGCTCCGTGGCGTGCCACTCTATATTAAGACGGCCAGAGTACCCTCGGCACACAACCTCCCGTCTGCTCTACTGTACGGACAGCGCACTGTGGCTTCGCAACTGCTGCAGCTACTGCTATCTTACGAGGCAGCACGTCGTCAACACCACCACTAGATGCGCGCTTTTTATCAGCTGTCTTCGTATCTCGTCATCTGCTTTTGTCGCTGCCGAGCGCAGGGTTCGTCTCTCCACCTGCGCGCTCACTAGTGACAAACAAATTCTCACCGAACTATCTTGTGAAAACAACCAATTCTCGTGTGATTAGACACCATTACCCCGTCGCAGTTCGCTGCCTTGCTCGGCACCCTCTCCACACTGTCATGCTTAGTGTACCATCACCTGCGCCTTCCCCTTACTGCTAATGCTGCACCGCTTCATTCTTCACTAGATTGCGGAAGCCACATCTATCACTCGTCCACTCTCTGACTGCGGAACGCCAGAAGCTTGATCGCTAGCGTACCAGAGCATCGTCTGCGAACTAGCTAGAGCACGCCCGGAATTATGGCCTTGCGCCCTTGCAGCTTATCCTTACCAAACTTCTTCTCGTACCACCGCTTGCCCTGCAACGCGCGCGGAAGCATGGTAGAAATCTCGTTGAGAAGAAACGTGCGTGCAGGCACACACTGCCAGCCCCCAATCATCCACCACCCTGCCCACTCAATCCACTCGCACAGGTAATGCGCGTGCAGCGAGTACTTGAACAGGCCGTTCTTCGGTATCATGTACACCTTGTCCACATTCTCCACAGGCTTGCCCTGCTCAGCGGCTGCCTTGCGTTGCTTGCGGTCTGCTGATCTCCGGATCTCGCGCAGGTCGTCGTCGTGGAACATGTTGGCCAAAAGTCCCCAGCACCAGATTACGAGCCCTAGAAACATGTACTCTTGTCGCGCTGCCCACTCGTCTCGTGATGTTGGTCCATAGCCCGCGAGGTAGCCGCCAATGGAGATGGCGTTGAACATTTGGAACCCAAAGGCCATGATCCAAACAAACGGATGCATTGGGGACATGCTGGGATTGAGAAAGAGGGGTGAGATGACTGCACGGTAGAGGTAATGAAAGACCTGGTGTCTGTTTAGCAGAGTTCCTGTAGAGTCTCCAGTATACTCACAAAGCATCCCGCCATGGTCCAGTTGCCCAACGGTAGTTCTTCAAGCCCCAATTCTTTCGGGAGCGTAAACATGATGTACAGCAGGGTTATGAAGCCTGCCGACTCCATGGTCGCCCATCCTATCTTGCCGTCTATGTTGAAACGCGACTCAATTGACGTCTTGCCCTGTGGGTACCAGTCCAGAACCCATTGCGCCGCAGTAATCTTTGTTCACCAACAAGGTTAGTAAGGACAGTATCAAGTGGCACTGGGTCGCGGCACGGTGCCCAGCAATGTGTCGGATGTATGCTTACAACAGGAAAGAACTGCCATACGTAGCAAATCAGCTCCCAGTTCTCGCGCGACGGCGGCAGCCAATTCTCCACAATCGCCATGCTTTTATGATGAGGTATAGCGACGCAGAATGATATCTGACAACGCGTAGACAGAATTGCTAATGGGAACCTGGTGATCAGGTGTGGATTGAATCACAAAACAATGATGTCACCAAACACTGTTACATCCGCGCCAAGCCGAAGCGCCCGGGCGTGTTTACGTTTTCTCGGTCGCGGTGCCTTTCCATCACGCTTCGGTCCGGATGAATTGACCCACTCAGATGGATCTACCAAGCGCGCCACTTTTCTGGAAATGATTCGATGGAAGATGCAAAGATCTCACTGCAGCAATGCAGCTCCAGGTGCGTTTTGCCAGCATGATGAATAGCTGAGCTCGAAGTTTCTTCATCAAAAAACCGTCTCCTTAGCTCAATTGGGAGAGCGCCAGACTGAAGTCTCAGTCACTAAATCTGGAGGTATCGTGTTCGATCCACGAAGGGGACAACGTGCCTGAGCTCGCTCAGGATTCTTCGAACTTTCTTTTTGCGCTTGCGTGAACCTTGACAGTGTGATGGCGTGCAGGGAAATGCATGCCCTCGAATCTTTTTGGCGTTGCCCCTTGACTTGCTTTTTTGCATATGTACCATTGCTTTGTAAACCCTGTCGAACGAGAGCACTGTGTGTTGGAACAGGGTGAGTTGTCAGTCGGTGTGAATGGCGGACACGTTGGTGGTGGAATGGAAGTATTGTGGTCAGGTGAAGAGAAAAGGATGATGTATAAAGGCTATGCTACGCTATGGTACTTGCTAGTAAACAGATCACAAAACAAGGACCAATGCTCAAATCGTCAAAATAGCGATGCTTACTCCGCTCCTCTCGCACCACTTGCGTGCATGTCCGCTTCGGTGACGGGCACACTCTCCCTCCGCAATTGCTCTGGGGCTCTCGCTTCGTTGCCCTTCTTAATGCCTCTCCCTCCTGGCGTCAAGAATGTGTTGTCCAAGTTTGGTAGGTCCTCACCAGGAGTCGGAGACCAGTGCTTGCTCTTCCATGGGGTAACGTGGAGAATGTACATGGTGTCAATCTCCTCAAGAGTACGGCCGTGAGATTCGCAGAGGAAGAAGTAGACTACGACTGCACCAGTGAAGCAGCAGGCGGCGAAGACATAACCGTATCTGTAGTCGATGGCAGACGTAATGTAAGGCGTGACTGAGAGTGGTATTAGTACAGTCGCAGAAAGACATGGATGAAGTAGTATTGACTTACAGAAAGAGATGAGGAAATTCCAGGTCCAGTTGCTGGCCGTTGCGAGAGCCATTGCCTTTGCACGGTATCGGCTAGGGTAGATCTCACCGATCACAGCCTGCAGGGGTAACGAAGTTAGTATATATCTCACATGCATTTCGTGCAGCCAGAACTTACCCAGATGATTGGCCCCCATGTCATAGCATAACCAGCGATGAAGAGGCACGCAAATGTGATCATGGCATATCCGACAGGCTGGCTCGTAGTACCGTCGCCGTTATCCAAAGCGAAGTGTCCAAGCGATGCGAAGACGAGGAAGCACATGAACATCCACAAGCCTCCAGTGATCAGTGCGGGTCTTCTTCCGAATCTCTCCACGATGTAGAGACCAGGGAATGTCATGCCAAAGTTGACTCCTCCCAGGATCATAGAAGTGACGAACGGGTCTTCAATACCGACTGACTGGAAGATCGTAGTTCCATAGTAGAAGTAGCTACAAGAGAGTCAGTACAAGATGTGTGTTAATGTGCGGTATCGACTTACTAGTTGGCACCCGTGAGTTGCTGAAGGGCTTGCAGACCGACTCCAAGAAGTACACGATACGCCATACGTGGTCCTGTAAAGATCTCGTACCAAGGGTGGTGACCTCCGCCCGCTTGCTCGGCCTCCAACTTCTCCTGGATCTCCCGGACTTCGCGCTGGACTTCCGGGTGTTCCTGGGGGACACCGTACGTGATGGCGATGGTGTGTATGGCCGAGTCAACCTTGCCCTTGCGGTATTCCCATCGTGGAGATTCCTGCATAAAGAGAATTCCGAATATCATGAGTGCTGACCAGATGAAACCAACGCCCATTGGAATCTTCCATGATGCTGAGCTACCATCGGACTTGGTACCGTAGTTGATACAATAAGCCGTGAAAATGCCGAGGGTGATGAAAAGCTGGTAACAGGACACGAGTGCACCTCGGACGTAGCGAGGTGCAGTTTCGGATTGGTACATAGGCGTAAGGACCGAAAGTGCGCCTACACCCAAGCCTGCGACCCAACGACCAAGGGAGATCTGGTACCATATGTTCGTTGTGGTAATCTGTACGATGACTCCAACGCAAAAGATGATGTTCCAGAAGACGATGGAGTATTTGCGACCGAATTTGTCGGCGATAGGGGCCGCGATTAGAGCACCCATTAGGGTACCGATAGACAGCAGTGCAACAATCAAGCCAGACTTCCAGTTGCTGAAAGCGCGCTCGCCTGTTTCAGGGTCTGTCTGATCCGCGAATTTGTTCAAGAAATCGGGCATCTCCAAGAACCCAGAGATTTGACCAGTGTCGTATCCAAAGATGAACTAGGGGCTGTTAGCTGGGTACCTGCGCATTCGTTCATTTGATACTTACACCACCCATCGACACAATAATCGCCATGGCGATAATGCGCATTCGGAAGATCTCTTTGACACCGCCTTTCAACATCTGCGGCTTCTTCTCCGGATCCTGATCCATCATCGTGGAGGAAGCAGGCGAGGCATGTGAATGCCCACGGAATCGATCGGGTATCGCCATAGCTGGTGGAAGAGAAGAGGAGTGCCGATCGAGTGTGGAGGAAAGTATCAAAAGACATCTGGGTCGTGGGGTCTCCAGGTCCCTATAAAGCGCCCACGATTGCTCCGCTTTGGGGCACTTGGAGACCCCAATGCCGTCATAACGGCATGATTAACCGTAAGTCTTCACCGCGTTCACCATGACTACTGCGCAGTCTAGCAAAATCCAAAGGCATCCCGTGGTCGTGCGCCGTGCGGTTGCCGACGTCATGGTTTGCGTGATCCAGGGCGGCCACTAAACTGCATCGCCATCGACGACCCTGGGCAATCAAATGCTTGATACAGTCAAGCTATCGGCAAGCGCTGCGGTCCTAGTGGCTGCGGGCACACTCCGGGAGCAATCTTAGAGCCTCCAAAGCTTGGCCTATGCTCTTTCCCCCGGACATCAACGTCGCAGAACGTCATCTTCACTTGGACATGTGGGGTAGCGCAAGAGCCGTTGTGTGTCAGTTGAGTTGTTCGTTGGCTATCGTCGCATCGGAGCCGAGGTGTGCCGATATGTCAGCGGAGGCTCGGACTTTGCTGTGTCGTGGGAATGATGGTAGGTGAGGATGATGACAATGCACCGCAAGAACTACAGCCAGCGCTGGCTTGGCAACCGGTGCGACGATCATTCAATAATAAATACCAAGCAACCTAACTCGTCACATTGACATTTTAAATCCTCACCACAGGATACAGGCAGGAGGACGTATACCACGACACGCATCGGACGAACGTTTACGGAGCGGATCTCGTCGGTGTTGTTCTCCATTTTTTTTCTTTTCTACGGCCCTTCGATACATGCGTATTGTGGGTCACGATCGCCACACCATGGGGCTCCCACTGCCGTTAAGGGCCTCCGGATTTGAAGAATTTGAAAGTACCCAAGTACCGGTACCTAAGCACACACGTCATCTCGCTTGGTCACCCCTAGGCATGTTGTTCACGTTTCTAGGGTTCTAGCCTCTGCGGCCCAACTACCGGATCTGGACCTCGATATCTGAAGTTCGAGAATTGCGTTCTGCCGCAAGCTACTGCATTGATGACAATAGCTGCGAACTTCGTACGAGAGTGCGCATGAGCGATGCATCAAGAGCGATGACCGATCATCGGAAATCGTACACTCTATAGAGAGCGCTGTTCCAATACTGTTAGGAGCGACTGGAGAATGTTGAAGGTCTTCGGGCCAATGGTTTCGTGTAACACACGCATACATGCAACGACAGCCCAAGCACTCGTTTTTCCATGAGTAACAAAAGCACATAAACTGTCCGCTGTAGTCGTTTCTTCTTCATTCACGTTGACGCTAAAGTATACATACACACTTCGCATCGACAGACAGAAACCTGCGCGCCAATCGTACCTGCCATTTCTACCGATTCCATCAGTAATACCAGCTGAGTTGTGGCCAGACTGTCGAGTATCGAAGTAACCTTACCTCCGTGCACGAACCTGTTGCAAACCAAAATCATCGTTTCCTGCCGAGAAGAACACCTCGTCTATGCGATACACTGTTGAGAGCGGGTACACGATCCGTGCCTCTCCAGTTCCTGACGTGGCGTGAGCCAACCACTTACTATCTACCCACACATCAAACGAAAACTGTCCCGATACGGCAACTGTACTGGATCAGTGTTGATCGTAGGTAAGAGACACGGGTACGGCTTCCGATTAATTACAATTCGACCCGGTTAGACATCTGTGGGTAGCGTACCCGAGACATGGTTTCTTCTCCAGCTCGATCTTGTTGGAGTCAGTTCTCCAGCTGTACGACTACCCTTCTCACCAACGCCATTTGCAACTACAAAAACCTTTTGCTGTTGTCACTCTTGCTACATACATCCGTATGAGGGCAAAGATCTATTCTCGCGGATATAAGAACCGGGTATAGCGCCGCCTACCGATCAAACCTGGGAAGCTACATATGATACCAGCCCGTGCATCCGTATTGGCACATTCTAGTCCTGGTCGTACAGGTCTTGAGTGCGTACCACAATAGGCAATTTCGCAGTTCGGACCGACAGGCGTCGAAACTAGGCGTCAGACACGGCTACATTTGCCGGCGAGATACGCTTCATGTAGTGTACCAAGGAGTCTATCGGCGTTACTATGACGCTACAATGGCTAGTAACAACAAGGCAGGGAAAGAGAACCACGGAGTTGATGAGTCTGTACGGGCTTGAAGTTCATCGTTGGATACCGTGGTATAAATGCAAAGATTGCAATTTTATTACAGCTATATGAGCACCGTCCATTCCGACTTCAGACCAAGGAAAGACTACTGTTACCTAGTGGCCCCAACAAGGAGTCGAGACATCCAGACATCGCGGTCGACGATCCTCAGCATCCGGGCGGAAAGCATAGAAAGCACATGTGATACGAACGCCTTGATTTTCCTTTGAGACCTACCCGTACCCACCCAGAGAAAGATGCAAGTAAGTAGTATTGAGGCACCGTCGCAATGCTAAAGGTCATTTCGTGAAGCGTTAATTAGGGTTCGTCGTGTTGTTGAAGGTGCCCGACATGCCTCGATTGGGCATGGCAGAAGCGTTGTTAGCAATCCCTGATGACGGTACTCGCGTCATAGAGGGTAGCGCAAACGGTGGGGCCGGTGCAGGAGCTGGAGGCTTTCGAGGTAGATGTGAAGGTGTACCATACTTTGCGATGCTGCTTTGGGATGAACCCGGGTCACCAGACTGAGAAGCAGTTCGGTTCATGGATATGGCTGAGTTGTTTCCCTGCATACTTTGAGGCGACCCAAACGGCGGTGTGGAGACAGCGGAAGGGTTAGGTCTTGACATCTGTCCAGGCATAGAAGCCTGGGCAGACATTTGATATCCACCATACCCGTTCATCTGAGGCTGTCCCTGCATCATGTTTTGTTGCATTCCAAATGGCATGTTACGTCCACCAGGAACAAAAGCTTGGGTTTGCGGGTTGAACTGACCCCGGTTATAACTTCCAGGAAGAGGGTGCTGGTTGCGGTTGGGCTTTCCATTGTAAGCATTTGAGGCGAACTGTCCATATGGGTAGCCAGGCATCGGTGCCTGGTGAGGTGCGGACATTGGCCGGTTGCCGGGACCATTCTGGGCACCATATGCGCCCTGACCCATATGGAACGATGGCTGCTGGTTTGGTTGAGACCAGCCCGAGTTCATAGGCATATGTTGAGGTTGCTGATAGGTATCTTGGTAAGACGCCATCTGTGGATTGGCCATCTTTGGGGTGACCTGGGAGGGTATACCAGCGTTCTGAAACGATGACATACCCCGCTGGAAGTCCGTTGATAGATCATACCCATTCGGCATCTGTCCATAATTGGGGTAGGTCATCATCGACCCATTGGGAGCCTGGTACTGCTGACCAGCCCAGCCATACTGTGACTGCGCTTCCGGGGGCATCATGCCCGGATACGGGTTGCTGTATGTTGCCGGAGGCGATGCACCAGGGTTCATAGTCGCGTACGGCGCGTTCTGAGCAGGTGCTGGGTAGCCGTTGTAGTAGACCGCATTGTCTCCAGTATATGTAGCCACAGGGTACTGTTGCGGGTAGTAAACATTGAAGCGGGATCGAGCCTGGAAGTCGTCGTCGTCGTAGTTACGCTGCTTCTTGGGTTTCTTCTTCCCGGCAGCTGAGCTTGATCGTGAGATGTCCTTCCCTTTTTCTTTGTCTTCTCCGGATCCGTTGGCTTCGGCCGTGCTGGGCTCTTCACTTTCCGCACTACCAAAGATGCGCTGACGAGCTTCACGATATCGCGCCTCTCGCTCCTCTCTGGATAGAGCGGCTTTGTCTTTGTTGCCTTCACCATCGTTGCTGCCCTCGCTACCACCCATTTCAGAGGTCGTCTTCGAGGCATTCTGCGAGTTGGCTCCAGTGTTTGTACCTGATTTGCCATCGTCGCGACGCATGATCTTCCGAGCAGGGAGCTCTACGGGAGGTGTATTGGTGCCCTTGGCGGGATCTACCATCTGTGAAACGGGGGGAGGACTACTAGCAGTAAGCAACAGAGCACGCGAAGCTTGATGAATACATACATTCTACAGTAAGGGGTACGTGTAATTTTTACACCCGTCATAGTGTTGTCAACTACATGGCCGAGCAAGTAGTAGTCGGCAAGACGGTGAGCAAGCATCCTGTAAAATGTATTACAGTTCGGCAGACACAATTCGTTTTCACTGCGTACCGTTAGTAGAGAATTCTAGCAGATCCGCCACGCATGACATACCGAGAGTCTTTGATGAAATCAATGAAGTCTTGTTCTATCTTCACAACGAACAGCCGATCACGTGGAGACCGTAGCGCCTCGAGCAACTTCTCGTCTGGAATGGCGGGCATGTTCGGGACACCATTCAGTGAAGGCATGCCGTTGACCAGAGGCTGTGGCATGGGCCCCGCGCCGTTTAGCGACTGGTTAGGGTCGTACAATGTTTGCGGACCATTGGGTAGCGTCGGAAACCGACCTGCGGGAACCCCTCGATGAGGTTGAGGATTCATCACAGCTATTTCATGTAACTGGTCCCGAAAGGCACGCGCAGCGCCATGATCAGACCCCTGCCTAGAGTCTGCAACGACCGAGTCCGGCGGGGACGTGACGTCCTCTTCCTCGACTGCCCTGAGGCTAGCACTGTCATCCGGGCGTAAGGACTCCTTCTCGTCCAAAGCAAATGTTGTCGCAGAAGCAACACTCTTTCCATCAATGCTGGGAGGTTTCCCAGATCCATCTGATGAAGATAGCTGAGTGCTGCTGTCCTCGGTGACAGACACCTTTACCACAGCCGCAGACTGAGGCCTGTCGGGGACATCTCCTTTTGCATCCGTGGAGCGTGTTTCTGAAAGCTCAGCATGACCTGTCTGTTGCGCGGGCTGCGATATGGCATTTTCAGCGCTGCTGCTCGCATCGATATCCTCTCGCCTTTCCGCAAGTATTTTGGGTGCTACTTCGCCATGCATGGGTGTGGCGCGCGCCTTCTGGGCGACTGC